ATAAAAAAAAACTCAAAACAAAAAACTAGAATTTAGTAATTCAAACAAAAAAAAAAGAAATTCAAAGAAATACTTAATCATTGTTGAGGGTTGATGTGGTTGCCTGGAAAACTTGAGAAGGTGGTGGATACAGAAAGTCTGATTGCTGATATATATATATATATATATATATAGAGAGAGAGAGAGAGAGAGAGAGAGAGAGAGAGAGAGTGTACGTGTAAGCCAAAAGTTTAAATTCGTAAAGGCGAAAAAGTGGAAAAGTGCGAGCTTATGGGTATTTATAGACGAAGAAAGGTAAGGATTGATCAACTCTGGCAGTTATATCGCAATTTGTATCAACAGTTGGAATTTGGCTTAATAGTGGAAAAAGCGGCCTAAGGTGGACCATTGGATCTCGAAAAGGATCAAAGGCAAAGATCTAAGGAATCAAATGTGAAAAGGCAGGCAATCAGGAACCGTTGGATTAAAGTGAGCATTAACGACTGACATCTAAGGGGCCGGGTGAAGAGACAACGATTTTTTATTTTATTTTATTATTTTTTTTTTTAAATCTGATAGATAAATGATGAGATTTTTTAAACTCGTGAGACGTATGCAATGAGATCTTGTAACAAATAAGAGATAAATTTCTATAGACTTATGTTATGAGATTTTATAAGCTATCAATTATTTTTTAATATGATTTTGTAATGATAGATTTTTATATAATATCTGTTGTAAATATTTTTACCGGAGTAGAATCGAAAGATTCAACACCGGGTTGTCTCACAAAGAAGGTTAGTCGGATTATTTGTACGGATATTCAATCACAAGAAAAGAGAAAATAATTTCCTAAACACTCTAATTCAAATAGATGGTTTTTTTTTTTTATTATCAACTAGAATAATAAGAACGGAACTAGCAATTTCAAACTCGCAATTTAAAGTTTAAATTCAAATAATGATAACAGGACTAGGGTATCGGGGATATCGTTTCCGGTTCTCAAAACAATTTACGAACAATCAATTTCTCGACTAAGGGACTCGAAAACTAACTCATCTAGAGGTTCATCCTCAATATCTCACGAAACAAGAGAATAAATGTAAACAAATCAATAACGAATCGATTAGCACATAGACAATACGTTACCCAACAAGTCTATTCTTAACGAGCCTAGGTCGAACGATTTCTCCCCTTTCGGTTTCAAAATCGATTAATTAGATTAAGATGGTGATCAAACATCTAAACTCTAGGTTAAGCACAACTCGAAAAGATGGAGCAATTAATCATACACATAAACGAAATCGAACCGGAACGATTATCCCCTAACCCTAGCTAATGGAATTAGCCACTCATCGCAATCTCAACATAAACATTCACAATAAAAGAAGCCATCACATTCATGTATAAGATGAAAAGAAAAGCTTACGATTAATACCAAATCCAATGTCGATAAAACAACAAGCAATCCAAATCCTAGAGATAAAAGGGAGTTTTTATGCTCCACAATTCAATCCAAGATGAAAGTAAAGAGAAAATCTGAGTTTTAGGGTGAAAAATATTGAAAAAACAGGTCTGCAATGCGTAACAATACGCCCTAACTCGATCCTCATAGCTTTCCTAATTCAAAATCCGTGAAAACCGCGACAGTTTCAAAACAAACCTTAGCGCCGCTAAGGGGTTAGCGGCGCTAAGGCATCTTAGCTGCCAGCGTCTGTCCGTGAGAAACTTCTAAGCGCCGCTATCCACAGGGCCTTAGCGGCGCTAAGGTCCTGTTGGTTCAAAAATCTGCCCCTTTTTCTACATTTCGTGTGCTCGGCTACGTCGCTCGGGTACTGCCCGAGCTGAAAACTTAATTCTCGCACGCTTGGGTCCCGCAAGATGCTGCTCGAACCATCCACTTCTCATCATGAATGAACACTCGCCAACCCGATCAACCTAAAACCTGAAATCGCACCACCGAA